GAGTTTGTCTTCCCTCATGAATATAAGCTCACTGCTTCTTAAGGTTCCTATCGAATCTCTTGAGTTGGTGTCAATTTGATCCCACGTAGATATTTCAAAAAAGTACATAATGCTCCAGACAGACCTTTTTAAAACTCTTGTTGTTCGGTTGTTAGGTGTTGTTCTAATTCATAACAGCCCTGTATACAACAGAAGACAGCACTGCCCAGTCCTGTACCATTCTCACAATCAGTGTTTTGTATTCTTTTTTCTTGTTAAGCTGCTGTTCAGTTTTAGAAGACTCAGGTGATATTTTTGGTTTATGGTTTAAAGATTATTTTAGGGCAATAGTTTTAGGGGTTCATTTATCCTCTATGGCTCCAGAAAGTCTAGAATCCATTAGAATGTTAAATTCTGTTCTATATTTTCCCGTTCTTGATTAGAATTCTTCTGTGTAACCTTTGATCAAATCATCAGTAATGATTATAGTTCAGTAGTTTTGATTGTGTGTGGTTCATTGTTCTTAAAATTTTTTCTGTGAGGTTTCTTTGAGGTTTAGGATGATATGGTATTTTTATCTGGTGAGAATTTTTGTTTGCCTCTGCTGAATGCCTAGAGATTTTACCAATTCAAACTACATTAACTAAACTTACGGCTTGTATTTCGTTTGGTTTGTTTTAACTACCCAAGCAATTTTGTATGGATTATGTTAATGTTTCTCAGAGGAACAACTTTTCCTCTTCTTCTTACAACCAAAGTAGCTCTTTCAGACCTATGGGAGGAGGGAACATTTTCTTCTGGTTTATACTTTCCCTTAGAGCGTAGCCCTGTGAAGATCCAGCTTGAAATGGGAAGGTTTTTTTATTGAACCCTCTGCCTTATGTGGCCATTGGCCTGTGACTATCCCTTATGCTCCGTGTTGTTGTTAAGTGCTTTCAAGTCAATTCTGACTCATAACCATGTCCAGGGTTTCCAAGGATCAACTGGTAGCTATGAACCAGCAACCTTGTGGCTAGTGCTTAGCCTGTAGTGCCACATAAGGACTTCCATGGTACCCTGGAAATGGAAATTCAGGATCTTCAGGTGCCTTTAGGACTTGTAGGTCCTTCTGACAGTGCCTTTGTGGTACCGTGGGTATGCATTCACTGCTGAGTCTTTCTTTAGCGGCTCTAGGACTAGAAAAGATCTGGTAATCCACTGTTGGGGGTGCCCTGGTGGTACAGTGGTGAAGTGATAGGCTTCTAACTGAAAGGTCGGTTCTTTGAACCTGTGATCTGCTCTGTGGGAAAGATGTGGCAATCTGCTTCTTAAAGATTACAGCCTTAAAAACCTTATAAACACAAACCAAACCCACCACCATGATGGAGTTCCAACTCATAGTAACCCTATCTATATAGGATATCTGAGAATATAAATCTTTATATGGGAGCTGGATGTTTATCTTTCTCCTGTGGAGAAGCTGATGGGCTTGAACTCACGACCTTGTGGTTAACAGTCCAATGCCTGCCTAACTCCAGGTTTCCTTGGGACAGTTCTACTGTATGCTGTAGAGTCACCATGAGTTGGAATTGACTTAACAACATGCTTTTTTTCTTAATTGAAGCGTGAGCAACATGCTGCTTTTACCTTGTGTTCCTAATTTCCCCTAGACTACTTTAGATTTTGCCTTTCGTATCTCCAGATCTCTACTATATATCAACACTTAAGTGCTTTAAGTATCTTTTCTTATTTTGCCTGACTTTATCATTGTTTTCCAAGGGAAGGTTGGCTTAGATATCCTAATCTACTTTATTTCCTGAAATACTTTAAAATCTTTAAGCCTTTACAAATGTGCATTGAATAGATGACAAAATTAATACTTTTTGTATTGCAACAGTAATGTTTTCCTGATTTAGTATTAGCTTCATAGATTCAGTCTCCCAAGAAGTGAAAATATCATTGTGAATGGATATCGTGTGTTTTGGAGATGGAATTGAAACTGTTGAATTTGATGGGGTGTGAGTATTAATTAGTCTTGAGGAGGAGGACTGTACTTGATAAAGTACTAAGCTAAATTCCTTTCTCAGAATAATTTTGATCAGCTTAATTTGATTGATACTGTTAATTTTTCCTGCAAAAGTACACACATGCTGATATGAAATTATAATTCAGAAATGGTAAAATAGAAAGTCCTTCCAAAAGAACTACTATTAGAGTCTAATGGGCAAGTGTTTCCTCAACTTTTTCTGCATGTATATTTATAGATTACTTCATTTCCATTTTTTAAAAATTTTAATATCCTGTAAACATCTATTCTGTAAGCAATATTGTAATAAATATCCTTGTACATATATTTGTACTTACACATTTTCCCCCCTTGGGGTAAATTATGTACCAAGTCAAAAAATAGACTAATTTGATAATATCATAACATAAATTCCTAAAAGGTTATCAGCAGTTTGAAAATGTCAGTTTCTGAACACCCTGGTAATATCAAACTTTATTATTGTAGTATTTGCTGGTGTATTAGGGGGGCACAGAACTCTTTTAACTTTATTAGTGATATGAAACATTTCTTCATATGTTTAGTGGACTTTAGGATTTCTCTTTTAATGCCATTTAGTACTTAGTTTTTGTTCTCTAATAGAGTATTTTTGTAAGGATGGGCAGCTGCTCATTATTAAGATTGCTGATTTGTTGTCATTTATATTGTAAACTTTTTGTCTGTAGTTTGAATTTTGTAGAAGTAAAATTTGAATTAGTCAAATTTTCAGTGTTTTTCATTATGCCATAAAGGTGTGCTATTCTTAAATGCTCTTGTGTGGTTTGGTTATAATGTCATGTTGAAAGTGTCCTTTACCACCAAGAGGTTATAAAAACATATTTTTGTTTTATAATTTTGATTATGATAGCAAGGTAGGAAGCTACTCCCCCCCTCCCCACTATCTTTTGTTTTGAAACGTACTTCAGTCACAAATTATATATCTGTATGTGATTTGTGTATGTATATGGGTCTGTTTCTGGATTGTTTGTTTTGTGCCATTGACTGATTTGTTTGCTCCTACACATTGGAGTCCTGGTATGATGTTGTAGGATAAGCACTGGACTACTAAGCCACAAGGTTGGCAGTTCAAACCCACCAACCACTCCTTGGAAACCCTATACAGGGTCTCTATGATTTGGAACCAACTCAACGGCACTTAACAACAACAAACCAGTATTTCACTGTTTTAAGTAATACAGCTTTATTGTTTGTTTTGATATCTGGTCAAGTTTCTCTGAAAGTCTTTTATCAAAAATAATATGACTAATTTTAATTATTTTTACATGTGAGCCTCAGAATTAACTGGTGAGTTTCCCCCTGCAAAAAAAGCCAACTTCCAAATATAAACAAGCACAAGAACTCCCTGGGAGTGGGTTTTAAAGAAAGCCAGTTACATCTTTACTAATTCGCATCCAGGAACAAGCCAGTCTCATGTAATTTCAGTCATCTTTTATAGCCTCTAGTGTAGCGATGATTTTTCCTCATATGTACAGGGTTTTCTCAAATATGTTACAGATTTTTTTTTTTCTCTTTTCTATTTTAAATCTGCTTTTTCGCCCCATTTCATGTTCTAATTGATTATATTCAATTATTGTTATTATGTGGGAAAACTATTGGTTTTAACATACTACTCTTGTATTTGTCCATCTTATTGAACTCTTAACTTGTAGCAGTTTTTCCATTTATTTGCTTGGTTTCCTTTGTGAATAGTTATATCATCCTAAAATGACACTTCTATATTTCTAAATATTTATATTACATTTTTCTTGTCTAAAATGTCTATAATGTTAAATGATTGTGAAATTAATGTGGTATCCTAATCTAGTTCATAATGTTCATATAATTAATACATTTTAGTGTTCTGTTAATTATGACATTTATATTGATTTCTAGAAACAAGCTCCAAAAATGAAACAAAATTTTTTGCTGTATTAAAGACAAATACTTCAGTTTTTTTAAAGTGTTGCCCACAATGTGCAAACCTGCTTTGGTATCTGTGGGAAGAATCATGCTGTTTTTCCTCCTAATATTAATATATCAGTAGATTTGTTAATAATCTGTCCTAACACTTCTAGAATAAAGCATACATGATTATGGCATTTTATTTATATTACGCTGTGTTGTTGTGATTAAGTGCTGTCGAGTTGCTTCTAACTCATAGCAACCCCATACAGGATTTCTAAGGAGTGCCTAGTGGGTTTGAACCTCTGACCTTTTGGTCCAGTGCTTATCCAGTATAACATACCAGGACTTCTTATGTACTGTAGATCTTGTTTGATTTTTTTGTATATTTATTTTAGCTTTTTGTATTTAAATCCTGGTGTGCGGTGCTATAAGATAAGCACTGGACTGCTTAACCACAAGTTTGGTCATTCAAACTCACCAGCTGCTCTCCAGAAACCCTATACAGGGTCGCTATGGGTCGGAACTGACTCAGTGGCACTTAATAGCAACAAATAGTGTTATGGAAGTAGAATTGACATTGAAGTAAGCTTTAACTTTTAACTAACTATAAATGTCTTCATCTTCATTTACCTGTAAGGTGGAAATGATGTTTGCTGTGTCGGTTTGAAGGTATTATAAGGTTGATTTGTTAAACTCTACGAAGTAATCTGCAAATTCAGAGTTATGTAAATACAGAAACATTAAAATCTGTTTGCAGAGATTGTTGTTGTTAAGTGCCCTTGAGTCAGTCCTGACCCATAGTGACCCTGTGTAGGGTTTCTGAGGAGTGACTGGTGAGCTTGTACTGCCAACGTTGCAGTTCATACCATAACCCACAGCACCATACCAGGACTCCAGTTTGCAGAGCTTAAGTATGGTTTATTAATCCAAGTTCATAGATAGATTATATACTCCAGTGATAATGCTCCATAATTGTTTTAATAAAGTCCCTCATCTTATATTTTATAACTTGTGTTTTATTCCGTCACATGTTTTGGCAGTACCTAGCTTCTCTTTCTTTTGTAATTTGTGTGTTTTCTTTCATGTTTTCCAGCGGCGAGTAGAGCAGCCCCTTTATGGTTTAGATGGCAGTATTGCAAAGGAGGCACCAGAGGAGCAATCTGCCTTGCCAACCTTGATGTCAGTGATGCTGGCCAAACCTCGGCTTGACACGGAGCAGCTGGCACAAAGGGGAGCTGGCCTCTGCTTCACATTTGTCTCAGTAAGTGCTTTATCTCACAGCGCTACACCAGAACTCCATCAGAAACCCTATACAGGGTCACTACGAGTCAGAACCAACTTGATGGCACTTAGCAACAGCAATAATCTTAATGTGACTAATCTTCTCCTGTGAAGTTTTGGTGTGTTCGTACCACTGAACTTTCAGTTAGCAGAGCACTTAACCACTTCACCACTAGGGCTCCAGAGCAAGGATGTCATTGCTAAATCCAATAATCAGATCTCATTCAAAGTGATCCAGCAGTCACAGATCTTGTCTGACCACATACTCTTCGTACGTGGCTTTGACTTTCTTGGGTCTACATTTCCAGCTCTCTACACACTGGAGTGCTCTAAATCCAGTCTTCAAACTCCTGATTCTACTCATTCTCAATGTAATTTCATCTAGTTTTTTCCCTTTAATTATCACCTTTGTCTTAGTGGTGGTGGTTATGTGCCATGAAGTTGGTTCCGACTGAAGAGTGACCCTACATAGGGTTTCCAAGGCTGTATATCTTTATGGGAGAAGAAAGCCTCATCTTTCTTCTGCAGAGCTGCTGATCATTTCAGATCTGAGATTAGCAGCCCAACTCGTAACCACTACGCTACCAGAGCTATGTCCAGAGGCCTCCAAAATTTGTATCTCCAACCCACAGCCTTACTGTCAATTCCATTCCTGTGTAGTTGCTTTCATAAAAAGTTACATAAAAGTTAATCTCCTTTATGTCTAGTCAGTGTATAAAATTTAACGTATCCCAACAAAACTCATTTTGCTCCAACTCTAAACATCTTTCTGTCACAGCTTATCCCACATTTGAGTAGTTGGCAACTGATTCCTCATTGTTTCAGATGACACACCGTGGAGTCATTCTTGTCTCTTCTCTTTATTTTGTACTCCAAATTCAAATTCCTCTGCAAACCCTGTTAATTTTACTTTCTAAAGGAGCTCTGGTAGCGTAGTGGTTACGAATCGGGCTGCGAACAGCAAGGTCACCAGTTCGAAACTACCAGCTGCTCCGTGGGAGAAAGATGAGGCGTTCTGCTCCTGTAAAGATTTACAACCTCAGAAACCCTGTGCAGGGTCGCTGTGAGTTGGAACCGACTCCACGGCACATAACAACAAATGCATTCAGAATTCTACCATTTATAACTGCTGCAAAAACCTTGTGGGAGTCATGTCTGACTTCCCCTGCCTTCACAAGGGTTTAAAAGAATCAAACTCAAAACTAGCCCGAGGCCATTTCCTGTGACGCAGAGGTCAGACATGCTTCCAGCCTACAACCTTCCTTACCCTATTCTGATACCAACCATTCCTCCTCCCTCATTCTGTTTTACATCTAGGTTTGATAAGCCACTGCAATGGCCACCCAGAACTCATAACAATACCCTGATTATGGCGTTTATTTAGGGAAGTGAACAGGGTACAATTTGGGATCAAAAAGCTCAGAACGTAGTAGTTTTATACCTACCTCTCCTCTGCCATATTGCAGGCACGTCTCATTCTTAGGCCTCTCAGCCATGTGGTCCCTTGGCCTCTGCTCTTTTAACCAGTGTGTGAGTGCTCAAAGGGTACATTCTTCAAGCCAGTCTCCTGCCCATAGGCACTCAGCTTTACTCAGTCCATTGCCTAGAGCCTGAAGCTGCTCTGGTCTCCATACCATCACCTCTGCCGTGTCTTTAGGTAGGGATGTCATGCTTTGCTCATGCTCTTCCTTCTTGTTGGTCCAGGGATCTTCTATCTCTGCTTCTGGGAGTTGGCTTCTTTTAAGCCTAGCTGGAGGACAAAACTAACCAATCCCAGCCCTTAAGAGTCCTGTATACCTTATTTATTATTTGCATTACCCACATGGTGGTGGAAATAAAGAAGACTTTGGATAGGAAAGCCATATCAAATAAATTCAAGGCATCACAACCACCTTACTCACTACCACTCAAGTCTAAACCACTGTTGTTCCCCCCCCCACACACACAACATTATTGTAGTGGCCTTGTGGCCTCCTACTTGAATTTCTTGGTTCCACCTTTGTTTCTTAAGGAGCTCTGGTAGCGTAGTGGTTACGAATCGGGCTGCTAACCTCAAGGTTGGCCATTCGAAACTACCAGCCATTACTCGGGAGATAGATGAGGCTTTCTGCTCCCGTAAAGATTTACAGCCTCGGAAACCCTGTGCAGATTTGCTATGAGTCGGAATCGACTCCACGGTACTTAACAACAACAACAACCTTTGTTTCTTTTTCATCTGTTCTCAATACAGTAGAGTGATCTTATTGGAACATAAGTTAAACTGCCACTGCCCTGCTCAAAATAGCCCTGTGGCTCCAAAAAAGTCATAATCCCTAAAATGGTCCACAAGGTTCTGCATAATCTAGTCCCCAATCCTGACATCTCTTACTGCATGTCCCTCCCATCTCTGGTCTGTGCCTATATGTACTCCATGAGAGAGGGCTACCCTGACCACGCTGTTTAAAGCTGGGGCTCCTCCCTTCCTACTCTCACATATTGTCTAGCTTCTACATATTGTCTGCTTTGCTGTTCCCCATAGCTCTTATATGAAATGTAAGTTCCATCAAGTCAAAGATACTGCTTTGTACTTCAAAAAGTTCATGGAAAAAATAAGTTAGCTTTGGTCAACTTTCTCGAAACACTCTCATAAGCTACTGTTACTAGTCTGTGGTGCTTCAGACAGTCAGCAAGGAAAATACTCTGAGCATCCCAAAACCTGTTGCTTGACCAATCCACTATTGTTTTGACTGGGCCGATTATACTTCTTGGTGGTGGTGTTGTGTTAATTGCTGTCGTACCGACTGTCATGTATAGCGACTCTTTATAGGGTTTCTGAGGAGTGGCTGTCAAGTTTGAACAGCCAGCCTTGCAGTCCAGTGCTTATCCTACAACACCACGCCAGTTAATTGATTGTGCTTTGCCTCCAGGATCATACTGGTAAAGCCATGTTTTGTCTTCTAAAAACCATGTTACAGTTCTTTAGGTTCTTGGTCTTACTTGTTTAAAATTTCCATTGAAAGCTCTGCTCTTTTCTACAGTTGATCTGGGTGCAATGGTTTGGAACTCATCCACCAGGAAGCTTGCTCGATTTTCATATTTCAGTCAGTCAGAATTATGGAAATAGAAGCAGTTGAGATGTCTATGGTGTTGGCTATTATTTCTGCTTTTAATCATTGTTGTTGCTAAGTGCTGACGAGTCGCTTCCGACTCAGACTGGCCCTGTTTCAGTTTTCTGAGGAGCGGCTAGTATGTTTGAACCTTCAACCGTGCAGTTCAAACCAACCCTGCCGTCCACTGGTTATCCTATAGCGCAATGAACAAGATTCATTTTTTCCTCTCAAATTGATGTGGATGGTTGCAGGTTTATTTTCAACATTGTCTCATCCTGTCTTCTGGTGATTTCTCTGGGGCCTTGTCCCCATAATCTTTTCATAAAACATAAGTGATTTTGCCATTCTTCCACTCAGGCATCACCATAAATTTGATGTTTGTTCTTGAGTCAGTTTTATCAGAATTTATGTAGCTTTGATATAAAGCCTCTTTTCCATCTGTTTTATCCTTCTTAGTGCCTCAAACTGGATCCTGTTCATGTATAACAAGTTAGTATATTGAGTTTATTTTGGTGCAAAAAAAATTTGAAATTCCTTGCATAGTTTTTGTATAATACACATTTTCCATGAACTTTTTGAAGAACCTCTCATATTCTTGCTATTAGATCCTTACAGAGGAGTGATTTGCAAACATTTTCTCCACTTCTTCTGTCTTTTTGCTTTAATAGTTTTCTTTAAAGCGCAAAGATTTTTATTTTGATGATTCTGGTTTATCTGTAATTTCTTTTGTTCCTTGTGCTTTTGTTGTCGTATCTGAGGAAGCTTTGCTTAACACAAGGTAACAAAAATTTGCTCCTATACTTTCTGCTTAGAGTTTTTATAGTTCTTGATCCATTTGAGTTAGTTTTTGTATATGGTGTGAGGTATAGTTCCAGCATAATTTGTATGTGGATAGCCAGTGTTCCATAACATTGAAAAGATTATCCATTCCCATTGAATTTCTTTGCACATCTTTAAAAAATCAGTTGACTGCAAAGTAAGAGTTCAACTTCTGCACTCTTCAGTTCTAATACAGTGATGTATATGAGGGAACTTAAGAAACTTAGAGAAAAATGGAATGAAAAAGTAGTGGATGTTTTCTGTGAACTTTTAAAAGTCCCTTCAAATGTCTGTCCTATTAGTACCACACTATCTTGATTACTGTAAGTTCGTTATAAGATTTAAAATTGGGAAATTTGATTCCTCCGACTTTGTTCTTCAAGATTTGTTTAACTACTCTGCATCTCTTATCATTTCCATTAGCTTTAATTTCTGCAATAAAGGGCAGCTGGTATGTCTGACATGAGCCCAAACCTAAAACCCACTGCCATCAGTTCGATTCTGACTCAGAGTGCCTTAGTAGGACAGAATAGACAGCTGCTTAGGCCTTCCAAGACTATAAATATTTACAGGGACAGACAGCTTTATCTGTCTTCCACTGAGCAGTTGGTGTTTGAACTGCTGAATTTTTACTTAGCAGCCCAAGTGCCCACCACAGTGCCACTAGGGCTGCTTCTGCCATCAAACAGTGACTTCAGAAATGTGATGAAGGCTCCATGAGACTGAAGCCAGAGATGGGCAGCTGCATTGGTAGGAGCAAGGAGTTTACTTTATTAGGGGATTTGCATACAAGGCAGGTCCTAGGAAGCAGCAGGATCACTTCACTTCTCCACACCCGCTAGTGGGAACCAGAGATTTTTATGGCTTTGATGAACACAGGTGATTCTATGCCCGGAATTTAGGACCTCCAAGGCCACCCTAGCATAAGCTACATAGGAGTAATTTAGCGAGTGGAAGTGGGCTGCTGGAAAGCAAGGAGGACCATATTTGGCCTAACAAAGCCTGTTTCAGATTCATAGGATGTTCATAAAGATTGTGCTGCATCTGTACATTAAGTTTGGAAAGTGTTGCT